CTCACAAAAATTTTCATTTCGTGAACTAGTCCTTTCACTACGACTTTGAACCCTTTCTAAGTTCTCCATCTAATATTAGTCATTTTTCTAATATTACCATCTACGTGTGCTTTAGTACATCAGTCTTCTCACTGATAATACCCTTCTTATTTAATTGTACATCAGTTTTCTCACTGATGATGCCATTCCACTGAAACATCAGCGCATCAGTCCTTCCACTGATAATACCAATTATACTCACAATGGACCATCAGTCCTTTCACCGATGACCATATCAATCCTTTCACTAAAGCACAATCCTTACACAAACTTTTACTTAGATATTAGTCCTTTCATTAATATCACGCACCAATCCTTTCATTGGCACGCACATCAGTTCTTTCACTGATGATATAATACTTACCTACACTTTTACTTAGATATTAGTCCTTTCATTAATATCACGCACCAATCCTTTCACTGGCACGCACATCAGTCCTTTCACTGATGATTTTATCAGTCCTTTCACTGATTTTATATATATCAGTCCTTTCACTGATTTCATATAACAGTCATTTCACTGACATTACACACCAGTCCTTTCACTGATGATTTATCATTCAATGGTACATTAGCCCCTTTCACTAACCATACCATCTTCCCTCTCACTTCATGAGTTACTCTTAGGGAATCATTCTTTTTAAAACAAATTTTAACCCGGGTGCTTCCAAAAGTCACTACTCTTAGGAATTATTCCATTAAGAAAGCCCCGTATCAACTTATTCTCCTGTTTAGATAATTTCTTCACCAGTACTTCGCATCCATCGTAGATACAAATTCATGCAACATAAGTTGACGTGAATAATCAGTTTCACATCATCATGTGATAGTCTTTTATTCTTTGCCTCAATACATTCACATACAATCAGGCATAACTATGCATGTTATCAGATTACTTTTCTTTGTTATACCTTCACCTCCTAATGGTTTCTAGCCATAAGCTAATACCTAGAGGTTCACAGTTTGGTCCATAATTCTAGCTTTTCATTTCATTAATTCTTTTGTTAAATTTAACTTTTGTGGTTATAGAGCCTACGCTCCACTTGATCAGACTAACATCAAATTTGTCAATTTAACACAATGTTCACTCTTACAGACATTGCATGCATCATCACTAATACCTCTCTCACATGCATGCATTTACACTTTATGCAACAACATGTCTATCATCATTACACTGGGTGAATAATTTACAAGAAAGAGATTTTCAAATCATACCTTCAACTTGCCTGAGAGTTTCCTCCCCATCATGCGGCTATAAGGTATAATCTTGACCTCCTACTCGAGATCCAACAATTGCGTGTACATTTGAAATCCGATCAGTCCTAGTAGGACATACATTAGCAAAGTGACCCAGTTGGCCATATTTGAAGCACAACTTTGTTTCGTACCAACATGTGCCTCTATGTGTCTTCCCGCATGTGTCACATTTAGACAAGGGGAATTCACTCACAACTGTCTCTCCTTGGTTGCCTTTTCTCTTAAATTTATCATCGGATTACTTCGCTTGCAATTTCTTCTTTCCATTCTTGTCATCTATCTTCTTATTCTTTTCTAAAGTATAGTCAGTTGCTCCACTAGCACCTGACGCTTGTGTCTCAGAAGACTTCTTGCTCTTAGTCACACTATAAATTTCTTCTACTTTCCAGCATTGGTTCACAAACTTGCTAAACTCTCGGATATCACAATTAGACATTTTCTCATTCAGACCCCATTGAAACTTGGAAGTCATCTCAGTTGGAGTAGGTAGGGCTCTCCCATAGTTGGCATACTTCACCAATTCATTGAACTTGGCAAAGTATTGGTCAATTGACATTGACCCCTGCTTTACGCCCAGTATTTTAATTTACTTTATTTTAAAGTACATTTTTATAATTATAAATATTTTTTTTGTTTAATTAATAAAAAAGAAGTGGGATATTAATACATATGTCTGCCACTAATTAATGCTGAACTCTTTTCTTTAGGTCTTTTGATTTTTCGATAAATATGAAAAAAAGTATTCAATGTTTTTTAAAATGAGGGTTAACAATTTCCATGTAGAAAATAGTGGAAATTTAATACAGTTATCTCATACTAAAAGATGTTAAATTCTTTTCCCATCTATACCAACTTCAAATTCTTTTCACTTCACACCTACCAAATTATTTCAATTTCAAATTTGAAAAGTTTACTAATTAATATAATAATTAAGCTCAATAGACATAATATATACATTGAAAATTTTACTAATAGGTATAATAATTTCCCACTTAAGCTTCTTTAAACAATAAGTCACCGCTCATCTTGCCAATGAAAATCACGCACCGCCAATTTTTTTGTGAAGAATTAATGTTTAATTATGGAGCTTGGTTTTCGAGATTCTGTAAAGAGTGAGAAGAATCACACCAATTTGAAAATTTATAAAATATTGGAGGGTTTAATTATATTTGCATCGAAGATGGTGCGCTTGTCATGGAAAAACTAAAGGTCACGTCACTTAGATAACAACTAATCACTTCTCAGAAACTATCCATATAGTGATTATTTTAGAAAATGAATATTAAAAAATATGTTTTCAAAACATAATTTAATAAATGCAGAACGTATAGTGATATAGTTGCTGCAATTACCAATGCAGAACGTGTAATGGTATAATTGCTGCATTTTTGTTCTTTTTTAGACCCAAAAAATTAATTAATCCCAATAAACATAATAATAAAATGCCCCCTCTTATTTTTCAAATTAAACATGTTACGTCATTAATTTACGTAATGAGTGTTAATATAGCACTCGCTATGAGTTACATCTCCAAGAAAGTTATGACTGTGCGTGCTTTAAAATCTGTTTGTAGGTAACATATGCCATAAAAATCTGTTTGTAAGTAACATATACCATAAATGGGGTGCTATCTACATTAACGATAATTGATTAACATAAAAAAGTAAACAACTCTAATTGTAGTGTAAGACAAGAGGAACATATTATAAATGACTCTAAAAAAATTAAAAACGTATCATTTTAGTTTTAATCTTATTAAACTTATAAAAAAAATAATGAAAGAGAATAGCAATTATTATTAGTAAAATAAATGTAATGAATCTCGTATAATTTGGGTGTACAATTAGAAACTACAAAAGATTCTATGGTTTGAGAAGGCATGCCTAGGTGGCTTTTCGAATGAACATGCCCAAAACGTGAGAATAAAAATCAAGGCTCACTTTGGGGTCTTTGATTCGAAACATATGCAATTGAAATAACAAATATAAAAATCAAAATTGAAAAACTAAAAGAGAGTAACCCATATCTTCTTCTTCCATCTAATATACTCACAAATTGTTCTTCTTCTTCTTAACCTTAATTTTATTGATGATGTTGGTTTTGTGGTAGATTGTTTGCTTTCACTATTATAAAGTATTGATCTTTTAATTTTCCACCATTATGCATTTTTTGCGTTTTCCTCATTGATAACCCTGAAACATAAGCATAAAATGAGAAAAAATTATAAAAAAATATTCCTGAAATCTTTTTTCAACATTTTGAGGAGATTGTTTATTTGCCAAAAAAGTTTGTACTTGATCTACATACCGCTCCCACAAAGTACACTCAGGCTTGTGATATTCCAAATCCTTTCGTCGGCTTTACTTTACAATAGAGCTGCAAAAAAAATAAAAAAATTACATGTTCATCTAATAGAAGAACAACTTGACAATAGCATGGATTCTTTCACCCTACAAAACGCATACATACAATAGTTAAAAAAAAGCATATCACAATATTGTGTTACGGAAAAAAAATACTTGTAGAAGAAAAAAAGATAGAGAAGAATGTCATACCTTCCTCTGAGGAAGTAAAGAAATACATATTCTAGTGATTCTAAATCATCCCGTCAGCTTTACTCTACAATAGTGCTACAAAAAAAATAAAAAATATTACATGTTCATCTAATAGAAGAACAACTTGATAAGATGAAGAAGATAAATAGACAAAGAATAGAAGAAACATATGCACAAAAGCTAATTACCAAATGAAAAGACGCAGTAACACATATCCTATTTATACACAAAATAATTTCGTTTTTTAATAATTAAGACCAATAGTGGGATATTAATGGGATTAACAATTACCTATGCAAAAAGTAGTGAGATATTAATGATGACAGTTTTTCCCACCTTTAAGTTTAAATATTGAATTTGAATACTTTTCCACCTACCAATGCAAAAAGTAAGGAGATATTAATATTTTTCCACCTACCCATGCAGAAAGTAGTGGATCATTAATACATGTGTCTTTCACTATATATTTTGAATTATTTTTCCCACCCATTTCAAATTTAAATTTCGAAGGTCATTAATACAGTTGCCTGCTACCAAATATTTTATAATTTTAGAGACTCTCTCCTTTTTAGAATTTTTTATATACGAAATAAATTTATTTTTCAAAAGAAGTAACTTTTCAAACTATCATCCAGTGTAAACACAAAGCTGAGAATGAAGGAGAGAGCGACACGTCTGCAAATTTTTCAAAGTTTGGTTTTCCTTTCTGTATAATAAGATAGCATTTTATTATGGTGATATTACATTCTTCTCTACATTAAGAACGAAAAGAAGGGAAATAATCCTGGGCTTATTTTGAGACTGCTGCACTTTTGGACACGTGCCGCTCTAGTAATAATAAAATTGTGAATGATGCAGCCTGCAGGGGTATTCATTCATCAACGAAAAAGAGGATTATTTTTTTCTCTTTTTATATTGTGAACAAAATTTTGTAAGTTATATATTTTTAGAACATTTTGCTTTAGTTTTTGAAAGCAACGGTGAAAAGTTCAGGCATGCTGATTTGCATGAAGATGAAAATATCAATGACCCATTTTCTTTTGGGGGTGTATGGAAAGGAAGATGGAACACCACACTGACTAGAATAGTGCATTCTTACTACGAACTTGAGGAAACTATAACAAGTACAGTATAAATAGCTCAAAAGAGTCAAAGTAACTAAATTATGAATTTTTCAGTAGTAATAGTGCAATGTCCTCATCATTAAGAGGAAAATTTACATCTTCATATATATACATAACTATAGCACATTACAGCCACGATATGTCCATAATATATCTTCAGAAGTAATTGGCATCTACCAACTTTGAATGATAACATGATCAGAAGTTTAGCGCAGATGATGTCTACATGATAAGAAACGAAAATCTATCAGCCCAGATAATGAATCAAACTCACTAAGAGTTAGCAGAACATATTAACTAACCTTAGAGTCTCTTTTGTACCACGGCGTATTTTGCAACGAATGGTGGGAAGTCCAAGGCGTTGGTGAGCCTCATAGCGGTGACAGCCAGAGAAACCTACAAACCAAAGAGAATTTATATGTTTAGTCCTCCATATAGATCTTTCTCGTACTTCAACATTCTGATTTTAATTTTTTTCGCCATGATCATGACCCAACTACATAATAACATTCAACTGGGTTATTATATTCCACCTCTTAGAAAGAAAAGAACTTTAATAAAAATACTTAATTGCACGGCGATACATTTATACAAAACTTTTATCCCGAGCACACGCAATGGAGTCGTAGACAGTCAAGTGAAATTCAATCCATGAAATCATTTGATCTATGGACAGCATCGTTGTGGTAAAAGCCGTAATGCTAAAGGAATCATTATCGTATGACATAGAGGAGGAGGTCATAAGCGTCTATATTGTAAAATCGATTTTTGACGGAATGAAAAAGACATATATGGTAGAATCATAACCATAGAATATGACCCTAATCGAAATACATACATTTGTCTCGTACACTATGGGGATGGTGAGAAAAGATATATTTAACAGAAAATAATAAGATTCCATACACAATACATAATAACAGCACATACCATAATAAGTTCCATCAACGTCCAGGACATCAATCTGTATCACTCAAAAGCAACCTCAATTAGCAGCTGAGCAAGATATTTTGATGAATCAGAAATTAATTTAATAAGGTAAAGGAGGAATTGCAAGTTTTACGACCATAAAATGCAAGCAAATCATGTCAAACTAATATTTCAAAAAACATTTATACCATCAATTACAGAATACAAAAATCATATCCCTCATAAAGACACTGACCCATTATTTTCTGCCCTCTAACCTCTCAGTGGTACTCAACAGTGCTAAGCTGCATGCGCCCATCACAGAGCAATTATATGGAACAAACATAGCCAGTATAGTTGTAATGGTATTGTAATCACCAGAGGCACGTCATCTGTGTTGGAAATCGACAATCACACAAATCGATAAAACAGAAAAGAGAAAAAGGAAGAGAGATTGATACGGTGATTTAACCTGGTCACCCCATGTAGGCTATGTCCAGTTTGTTTGTACTATATTCACCTCTCCTCACTCGTTACAAGTAACTCGGTTTACAAGGAGAATATAAATAAGATTAAAAAACCCTAACAACAGCTATTCATGGGCCCAAGCCTAAACTACTAATAAAAGTAAAATTACAATAAATCAGAGGCCCACAACAGTACTTGGCCTCTATGGGCCTGGGAGCGTTGCCCTCCGAACCCCCACCCGCTGACCTGGGAGCGGGACCTCAGTTGGCTTTTTGCTGACCCCGCCAACAAGAAGGATTGTTATCTGATTGTGAAGGATGAGCCATACCCAACAATCTGTAAGACTGTAACTAGTGACCAATTTTGATTGCATGAACTCACAATATTTTCCCCACTTCCTTCAGAATGATTGCACTAAAAAATTAGTCAAGCTTTGATTTCCTGTTCTATATTGCAAAGTCACAATTAACACAAAACAATCCACAAACTCTTTCCTGAAACATGACACTCTTTCTTTTAATGAGGAAAATGAAAAACTCTTTCCTGATGCATGAGGAAAACTCTTAAGGAAAATTTCTGATAAAAGTAAACAAATGAGAAAAAAGAAAAAGAGAAAACACAAATTACAAGGGTACCTTATTCCTAGTTAAGACTCCATGTCTTTATATGGTTCTTCTGTTCATCACATTTAGGAGTTCGGCAAATATAAATGTTAGCTTATCCCAGTCTCCATATATCAATGTATATTGACAGGGTCTCATGTTTCCTTCCAAATCCACCTATTGATTAAGTTAATTTACAGCTCTGCAAATAATAGATGCTTAGTGTACCGTTGAGAGCTGCAAGCCCAATATATACCCTTGAGAGAGGTAAAGGTCACTATAAGGGTATTGTTACCAACAAAGGTAGAGACCAAGCTAGACAATGACATCCCAAATATGGCATTCAACAGTAAAAGTGGGGTGGGGGGATGATGAGTTGTAGTGGAGGTTCATGAAATCGGGCAAAGTAACGGCACATAGAGATTGGATCCCCTTGCTTGGTGATGGAGGGGGAATTTATAGGGGGAGGGGACGCCTTGCTCGCATGGGAGGGTGAGCCAGGTCAACTCTCCTTCGGAAGTGCCAAGGGCGCCTGACATTGCTGTTGCAGCCCTTTTGCGGTTCCTGTTATGCAGGTGGCAGTTGTTGCTGCTGTAGCTGTGAAGCGGAAACATCTATTTAGGGGGTCTAGGAGGGCTACCAAAGGAAGGTAGCATCCCAACGTAGGACATTTTGGTGTCTTACGTTGGGGAATCTGTCGCATGGGGACAAAAAGGGGGCACGTTCGGTAAATTGTGGTCACTAGAGCTGTCGTGGATTAGTGGAGGGGGATTGGGCTTGCCTTAATGGGCCAACCGATTGGGGTCATCCATAACACTTGGGATTCAGAAAATCTGTCCTTGATCCCTTAAAAGAAATAAAAACATTTATTTACAGGATTTGCAAGCATCGTATATCATGTTTCAATAATGCACAATGAGAATTGCCTCATTTGAAAAAGAATTTCCATATAGAAACATATTGCATATTCAATAATGACCAGATTATGATTACATTTTCCCTTTTATTTAGAATTATATCAGTGCATATGTTTAACCCCGAAAATGCTCAGGATGAGGAAATGAAGTTCCACCAACCATTAGATGCATAATTATGACATGCAAACATATGCTCACCAGTCCCTTTCACAATTCCTTTTATTTAGAAAAGACTAATGTTATACACAATCAATAATCTTTTTCCGGACATTTGCAAACGCGGTACCACTATCATAATTGGCAGTTGGCACAAATAATAGCCATTAATTGTGTGGCTGATGCAACTCAGATATTACTATTCCAACTTCCACTAAAAATTTATTCCAACAAATCCATAAAAATCACTTTAGTTTTTGTATTTTTATATGCTTTTTGTTAGAGAATGTCATACGGATATTAGTTGAGTTTGTTCTACTTGTATCAGTCTGTTGTAAGTTGTAACAGACTTACAACTACCCTAGGATTCAGTTAAGACAGTTGTGTCCAACTGTTCTTTTCTGAGTGTATAAATATGAGAACTCTTTCTTGAGTTCATTTGGTGAATAGAAATGACACAAATTACAGAGATTATAGTCCAATTCAAACCTCATCCAATGAATTTCCATAATACATAAAAGCCAACACCCCCACACCACACATCCAGTTTCACTTCATTTTTCACATTAACCAAACAGGGGGCAAACCCAATATATCAGAAACACATAACCTCCAAAAGCAACGCAGATATTTTGAATATAAATTGGCAAAAGGGAGCAAGTGCTTACAGGCACTTGAAGACCAATTTCACTGATACTATCCATGAGTTCTTGAACTTTGTTTGGATCATTTGCTCTCGTTCTCATCAGAGGCCTTCTTATCTTATCTAAAGGAAGCTCCACTATCACTGGGCCGCCGCCACTGCTTCCAGAACCACCAGGAGGAGCCCCTAAATATTCATATAAATAATTTAAATTAAAAAAAAAAAAGATAAGAGACAAAGAATAATAAAGATACAATTTTTAATTGACAGAAAGAAAAAGAGGGTGTAGTGCAATGCACCGTTAGACGAAGCAGACACAGTGAAGTTCCTCAACGTACTTGGAACCTGCAGAACAAAATTTGCCATTTTTCTTCTTTGCACCGTTTTTTTTTTTTTTTTCCTCTCTTTCGGTTCTATATATAGTCAAAAATATTGAGAACCAGAGAATATGATATGCTATCACAAGCATGGCCCACAAATTTCAATGGCTAAGATTGTTCTTTTACAAGTTATTTAGAAGGACCGTCTTACACAGGATTCGCTCTATAAAAGGGTGAAAGATTTTCCGAGAAAACTAATTGATCTAAATTTTCAACCTCACTGTCGCTCCTCGGAACCATGGCAGCGACTGTTCCTTTCTCTCTTATTATGTACACTGCTCACTTTACATTAATGTGTGTGTAAAATATTGAATTGGGCATTGAATGATTGGCAGGAACTACTCGCCAGTGGTTTCAGAAAGAGCTTTCGTTGTAAAAGCGAACAACCTCAATCTCTCCAAGCTTGTTCTTCCTCTTCAATGTCGCAGGTTTTTTTTTTTTTTTTCCTTTTTCCTTTTTGTTCTGAAAAAGGTTAAAGTTGCTTTCTTGATGAGATTGGCACTACTTGTAACACCCCTAAATTTATAATAATTTTTAACAATAATAAAATATTTCTATTATAGGGATATTATAAAAAACAACTCAGTTAACTTAATTAAACTAATTCACTTTCAATCTTCGACATTTCTCTTCTATTTTTCTCTCTTTTTACTTCAAATTTTTATTTTTATTTATTTATTTATTTTATCTTTCATTGGTTACCAACCGCTTCTCTTCCCCAAATTCTAGAAGGTAGCAAATACGGAGACCAAGTAATCCTAATTTCTAAAGAGTCATATGGTAGCTTGAAATGAATTTTGATTTGATGTAATCCTAATCCATAGAGAGTAGTCATAGGTTATAATTATACGAAATTTGATATATGTAATCTTAATCCGTAGAGAGTCATAAGCCAGCTTTATGAATCTTGTTTGATGTACTCCCGATGCTTAGGAAATCCTAGGATAGTTTTATTCGAAAATTATTTTAAAGATATTATAGGATAATTATATTGTTGAAAATTTTATTGAATTTTATTTATACATATAGAAAATAATTGAATTATTTAAACAATTATAGGTTGTTTTATTTGAAATTTGTTACATGTAAATTCAAATCCTTAGAGTATTAATTTTTTTAAATAATTAATATTATATATATCTTTGTATCTTCTTACAAATTATTTATATACCTTATTCTTTTACATATATGTTATTTGACCTTTTTGCCCCTTATTAATTAATTAATAATCATTTTGCCTTTTACTCATAACTATCTACCAATCTGCCCCTTTTTAATCGATTAACTTAAAGATTTAATCGATTAAATGGTCAAAACTGGAAAAAAATGGTTGACTTGAAGATTTAATCGATTAAATCTTCAAGTTAATCGATTAAATCTCCCTCTTAATTTATTTAATCGATTAAAACTTATATTTAATCGATTAAATATCCCAAATTAGTGTGAAAGCATTGATACCAACTCGTAAAATGGCAACTCTTAATAAAATACAATCAGCTCTTATTAAATACAAAACGCAATCAACTTTTATTATTAAATACAAAACACAATCATCTCCTATTAAATACAAAACGCAATCATCTCCTATCAAATACAAAACGCAATCAGCTCCTATTAATTACAAATCGCAATCAACTCCTATTACATTAAATTCAAAATTCAAATAACATCCAATACATGAAAAACTGATTGAAGATTCTGCTAAGTATTACATTAAATTCAAGATTCGCAATCAACTCTTTTGTTTATGAAGGAGATTTGACCTTTGTTTACCTGTTGTGATTTGATAGGAGCTGATTGCATTTTGTATTTAATTGGAGCTTATTGTGTTTTGTATTTAATAGGAGCTGATTGAGTTTTGTATTTAATAGGAGCTGATTGAGTTTTGTATTTAATAATAGGAGTTGATTGTGTTTTATAATTTAATAAGAGCTGATTGCGTTTTATTAAGAGTTGTCATTTTACGAGTTGGTATCAATGCTTTCACGCTAATTTGGGATATTTAATCGATTAAATATAAGTTTTAATCGATTAAATAAATTAAGAGGGAGATTTAATCGATTAACTTGAAGATTTAATCGATTAAATCTTCAAGCAACCTTTTTTTTTCCAGTTTTGACCATTTAATCGATTAAATCTTCAAGTTAATCGGTTAAAGAGGGGCAGATTGGTAGATAGTTCTGAATAAGGGGCAAAATGGTTATTAATTAATTAATAAGGGACAAAAAGGACAAAAAGCCTTGTTGAATAACATAAAATGCGACTATTACTCTATTAGTGACATAAATTTATCAATATATTAGCATGTTAAATATTTATAATTAATTATAGTTATGTGAAAAATTGACTAATATTTTGATTTATTTGAAGGTACTTTAAAATTTACTAAATTAGTGATACGTTTGTAATGGTACCTAATACATTAATAGTGTGATTTAATAATGGGGTTTATATCTATCATTTAACATGACCACAAAAAATTTTCTACACACACAATATTTTGTGGGACCCGCATGTTTTGAAAAAAAAAAAACTACGGCACGCAAAACGAATCTCTATAACATAACACAATCATCTTTCCTACAACATAACTCTTATAAAACCCTTTAATAATTTAGATCAACCTTAAAATACTTTTGAGGGTAAAGACCCATTAGGTTAATTTCTAAATCTTCTCAATATGAAGAATTATTTTATTTTCATGATCTTCTTTTAAATATGAACATTATTGGGACTTTTGTTGTGTTTAATCTTAATTTATAGGAAATCACAAGATTAATTATATAATTATTTTCTTGGATGTAATCCTAATCCCTAAAGAGTCATAGGTTATATTCATATGAAATTGGTATATGTAATCCTAATTCCTAGAAAATTTTAGGATGGTTTCATTAGAAATATATAATCCTTCGGGTATTTAAATTAAATTTTTTGAAACTTTAGAAATTAATAGGATAAATTATATAATTATTTTGGTATTAGTAATTGAATTAAATATAATTATTTAAATTAAATTTTAACTCTTTAATGATAATAAATAGAAATAATTGGATTATTTGATTGATATGACTGAATTATGAATATCGATATGATTGGATTTGAGTTTTATTTTAATAGATGTTTGAATGATGATATGATTTGGGCCTTACTAGATATTGAATATTTGGATTATGATTTGGAAAATTATGATATGATTGGATAATAGAAATTTTGATATTCTTTTTTTTGGAAATATTCCATCGGTTCATCGCTTCGCGATTAGTCCGATTCGGGGCGGGTCCAGGATTAAGGCTTTAAACTCCTCCCAAAGGTGGTACTGGGGAGGTTCGAACACATGCCTAAATTTTAAATTATACTCTTAATTAAATTGATGAAGAAATTTTTCAAATATAAGAATTTTGACAAGATTAATTTTGATGATTGTGTGTGTGATTGTAATTAATTAATAGTGGGAAGATAGCTTTGGGATGGTACCTCCTAAAGTGATGAACACAATGATGCTTCCGTTCTTCCCAAAGTGGTACTTCCTAAAAGGCATAAAGTTCAAAGGTTGTCTTCATCACTTCAAGAGGTATCATCCCAAAGCTATCCTCCCACTATTAATCAATTACAATTACACACAATCATCAAAATTCAATCTTGTCAAAATTCTTATAATTGGATTAATCAAGAGTATAATTTCAATTGTCCAAGAATATCAAATTTTCCATTATCCAATCATATCATAATTTTTCAAATCATAATTCAAATATTTAATATCTAGTAAGTCTCAAATCATATCATCATTCAAACATCTATTAAAATAAAACTCAAATCCAATCATATCAATATTCATAATTCAATCATATCAGTCAAATAATCCAATTATTTCTATTTATTATCATTAAAGGGTTAAAATTTAATTTAAATAATTATATTTAATTTAATTACTAATACCAAAATAATTATATAATTTATCCTATTAATTTCTAAAGTTTTAAAAAATTTAATTTAAATATCCTAAGGATTATATATTTCAAATGAAACCATCCTAAAATTTTCTAGGGATTAGGATTACATCCAAAAAAATAATTATATAATTAATCTTGTGATTTCCTATAAATTAAGATTAAACACAACAAAATTTTCAATAATGTTCATATATAAAAGAAGATTATGAAAATAAAATAATTAAACATAGTGAGAAGATTTAGAAATTAACCTAATGAGTCTTTACATGAAAAGTATCTTAAGGTCGATCTAAACTTATTAAATCACAGTATTAATATATTAGGTGCCATTACAAACATATCACTAATTTAGTAAATTTTAAAGTATCTTCAAATAAATCAAAACATTAGTCAATTTTTCACAAAACTATAATTAATTATAAAAATATTTAACATGCTAATATATTGATAAATTTATGTCACTAATAGTCGCATTTTATGTTATTCAACAATATAAAAGAATAAAGTATATAATAATTCAATTATTTTCTATAAAATTCAATAAAATTCCCAACAATATAATTATCCTATAATATCTTTAAAATAATTTTCAAATAAAAGTGTCCTAGGATTTCCTAAGGATCGGGAATACATCAAACAAGTTTCATAAAGCTGGCTTATGACTCTTTATGGATTATGATTACATATACCCAATTTCATACAATTATAACCTATGACTCTCAATCAATTAGGATTACATCAAACCAAAATTCATATCCAACTACCATATGACTTTCTATGAATTAGAATTAACTAGTCTCCGTGTTTGCTACCTTCTAGAATTTGGGGAAGAGAAACATTTGGTAACCAAAGGAAGATAAAATAAATAAATAAATAAAAATAAAAATTTGAAGTAAGGAGAGAGAGTAGAGTAGAAGAAGAGTAGAGGAGAAATGTTGAGGATTGAAAGTGAATTTGTTTAGTTAGGTTAGGTCTTTATTTATAGTTGAAGTTTTGAGCTCAGATATGGATTTCGTGCAATTATTTCCTTATTCTTCATTTATGTATCTGGCTCAGATTTGACTTCATATACTATTTTTTTTTATTCTTAATTTCTTATGTATCAGAATATTGCTGACTCATCATATATAATCAAATAACGATTGCTAACTCATCATAATCCAATCATATTTCCAATCAAACATTAATACATAAATGATCAATCAATTAATAATTCAATTAATCACAATTTATCATTAGTCGTAATAATAATATATATATATATATATATATATATAAATATATATACATTATTATTACTACTACTAATTTATAATTTATTATTTTTATAAATTACTATTATTATTTTTTGGGATATTACAACTTAAAACCAGAAAAGGTGGAAACTTCGTTTGTACACAGATTTAAGAAGTGAGATGGGAAATTCTGAGGCTATCAGTGAAATTTTTATTTGAATCAAAGATGGTGATAAGTCTTCAGATAAATTCACATTCCTGTTGTTACATCAAAACTTGAAGGATAAAAAAGCAGCCTAGTAGATCTGTGACATCTGTCAATGCTCTAGGATACCATATTCGTGGGTTTATAAATAGGAATTCAAAAATGACAATTTTTCTGAGGTCACTTTCTCTAATTAATTTTGTCCTTCTCAATTAGAACTGATAAGTTTACTAATGCATACGCATAATACCAACGCCTATTAGTATCAGTGGCATAGAATTTGCTTCCCTCTTTAAGTGAGATGAAGTACGCATGCGTCCTTTGGGTTTGAAAACAAACAATAGCTGAAAGAATTGACTGTGGGAACTGCTATAGTAGCATTCAACTACTTTTCATATTCAGGATTGTACCTTTTTTTTTTTTTTTTCAATTTTATTTCCAATATGAGAAATGGAACTTCTGCAAACAAATCTAAGTTCTGGGGGGAAGAAACTAAAAGTGTAATATGTTTATCTATGTGCTGTTGCATGGGAATATACATGTTAGCTATTTCCAAAATATGTCCCTTGGATACCTTAAAAGGGATATGTTGAGTTTATCTGCATTGTTAGCTATAGCAGAACATATACTAGTCTAATGTCATCTTATACAAATTTTTGATATAACTTGTTGACTACTGGAATCTGTTTTGAAATTTTATGCTATTTGTTTGCCATTCTTTTGTCTTTCTCTTGTTTGGAGTAGCTTTAGTTGTTGGCTTATTGTAGATAGATGTATGTTGACATTTTGCTTACTTATTACAGGTTGTCTTTTAGTGCTAGTGCCGCTAACAATGAACAAGCTGCTGTCAATGCTGATAATGGAGCTCCAACAATATATCGGGTTTAACATTATCTTACTATTGTCATTTTAAAGTCATTGAATGCTTATCATTCTGAAATATATTTTTAAACAATATCACTAACAAACTTGGAGATAGTTCAAAATCAAAGAACATTGAAATATTTTAAATTAGACACAGTCTATTTCTTTAGTATAATGTCATTATTAAAACAGTCACAAAATAAAAGGGAGCACCAATCTGATTGCAAGGTAGAAATTTTCCAAAATACCCCACCAATTCTCTCTAACACACACACATAACGATGTTCAAGATGGAGTTGATCTTAAATGTAAAGAATCACTGGAATTGTATAAGACTAAATAAGGAAATCTCTCTCTCTCTCTCTCTCTCTCTCTCTCTCACACACACACACACACACACAAAACACAATGATATTAATTTTCTTCTTTGCAGATTTGACCAGATCATAAATAAGGAAATCCCTTCAAGCGTTGTATATGAAGATGAAAAGGTCCTAGCATCTCGGGACATCAAGCCAGAGGCTCCAGTTCATGTTCTAGTCATTCCAAAATTTAGAGATGGATTAACAGAACTTGGGAAGGTCACTAATCACCCTTTTCTATATGTACACTTGGGAAGGTCACTAATCACCCTCTTGATACCATGTAAAAAATAAAGAACACATAGATTTATCGTAGTTCAGCCGTTAGGCCTACATCCACACTGATGACATATTTATATATAGCTTCTTAAATGGAAGCACTATGATCTCAAATGCTAAGGAGAACAAGGATCTAAGAAGGGAAAAGGTTAGATTGGCATACAGTCATTGAGATGATCAATCATTATTTAGTTTCTAGGTGATTGTGAGACTTTTGGTTAGCTTTGAGATATTTGGATGTCTCCTTAGATAGTAATCATTAGTCTAGAGATTTGTCCTTGTATCTCTCAATATACCGCCCCTTCTCATGCTGAGAAAAAGAAAAAAAGCCAGGAAGCATTTTGATATGATGTATAAAAATCTCCATTTGCAGGCTGAGGCTAGACACGTGGAGATACTGGGTGACCTTCTCCTTGCTGCCAAAATAGTCGCTGAGAAAGAAGGTATCCTTGATGGATTTCGTGTTGTCATCAACAGTGGTCCAAGTGCCTGTAAGCTTGTTTCTTTTGTCTTGTGGACATTTGCACAAAATCTTTTTCACTTGCTTATAATGGTAGTTTTTTTTACTCAGTTTCACTTATCCCATTTTTCTTATTCTGATTAGATCAAACTGTGTACCATCTGCACTTGCATGTCCTAGGCGGGAGGCAGATGAATTGGCCACCTTGTTGAAGTTTGAAAGTTAATCCTTGTTGAAGTTGATCATTTTCCCATGTCATCATAACATAGCCTAATTTCTTGTGTGTTTCAGATGAATATTTCTTGGTGAGCTGTATGTACTAGGTACATGTAAATAATGAGATATATTTTTATTATGTTGTAGGAAAAAAGTTACCTCGTGTTGTAGAAATAAAAGTATAAGTGAGACCTACAGATAAAAGGAGAAAAAAAAAAGAGCTGTGGGACCCAACCTCTTTTTGTGTGTAGGAAAATTGTTTATCTCATGATAAAATGAAATAAACATAACCCATAAATAATAGAATTGAAAAGGTTAAATGCTTTTGTTGTTAGTAAATCATAAACTTTTCCTTTAAAAGGTACATTGCTCGCAGGCTTATGGTACTAAATAAATAAGCAACCTATCCCGAACTGTGTTAATTTTGAACAGCCCCATTGAAATTTATGGGTCACAATTGCCAAAAATAAATTTCTCGTTCTTACAAAGTCTCTTGTTAATGGGAAACTAATTTTCGTTTCAAACTAGTTTTTCTGTATACTTAAAGGGAACAGTGTGTCATTTTAAAGAATGTAAAGTTGTGTCATTTTAAGAGAGAGAAAGAGATAGATAAAGGAAGAGAGAGAGTTGACAAAAAAAATAAAGGTGTGAGTCCCACCTCTTTGTGAGAGTGAAAAGATATAAATTGTGTCATTTAAAAAGATAAATACTTTTCCCATACTTAAAACCCCTAAGGTAGAAAATATTTTTAGCTTTTAAATTCAAGTTTCGTACAGCGAGCATATCATTCAAGTAAGCACCGTCGTACACCCACTGTTCCAATGAAGGGCTAGCCTATAGGGTCGTATCCCGAGGGCAAGATGACCAGCGGAGGTTAAATAGAAATACCTCCAGGTTATACCAAAAAAAAAAGCACCGTAGTAGGCACACCCCTTCCCCATTTAGAAAATAACAAGGACATAATGGGAAATAAATAAAAAGTACAAGATACATATGGTATTAAAATTTTCTTATTTTGGAAAGAAGGGGTACCAAATTCAGTACCCCATGGTATTCTAAATATTTCCCACACCCACGAGTATATATACAACGAAAGAACAATGAAGAAACCATTTTATGATGTCAAAGAATAAAAAATAATAAAAAATTATATGACTTTATTCTATATCCTGTACAATTCAATCACGGTAGAATTTAATTTCTCCTTCTTAGCGTCGTCTCAATACGTAAACTTGTATGGAGTATACAACAACAGAACGCGCTAGGCATACTCGTACAAAGGCAGTTAACAAGCTATGCCTGGGCTTCAGATATATCAAACTTGAGTCGGCCCCCGCAGTACCAGTAAGAACTAATTAACCGATAATGATAGTTACACAAATGATTTCTCACATATCTCACATTCGTTTGACAATTTATTGGGGAATGAGTTGTTGAGTAAATTGGGATTATCAACAAATTTCTCCAAGTCACCCTTATGTGAAATATGAGAGAAACCATATTTACAACTATCATTGTCCCTAATCAAATGTTCTCATCACCTCATAACATCGTGACAAAACTCAGCCACAGATTTCATGGAATGTAAAACCCGATGGTGAGAAAAGTGCTATAAGGTTCTAATGGTAGTCTGGTTTGTACATATGCAAGAGCAGTCAGCTTCCTTTCCAAATAGCCTTTTCTCACGATTAATCATCACTTTAATCAAGGGTAGTTTCTTTGAAACTTGGCGCCAAATCTCATTAACCGTTCCTTCTGTTGCTTCATATTCAAAGTATCGCTTCACCTGAAACCAGATAAATTAAATTAATTCCCTGATGTAACAAGGATGGGGAATCAAAACAGTACACTAGAATGAACTTCTTTAACCCTATTGTTTTTTGGGTTCGCTTTTTCTGCAGTTACTGCAGATACAGTAAGCCCAATACGACGTCGTTTTGAAGCAGAAATCATGGTGTTTTTGTAATTTTAATTTATTTCAAGGTTATAATAATCTTTATATTTATAATTTTTTAAGATTTCGATACCAAAACAACGTCGTTTTAGGAATAAATGCAGATAACTTATCTGCAGTAACTGCAGAAACATTTTTCCCTTGTCTTTTTATCAAATACAAATCTTTCTTCTTCTTTTTTTCTTTTTTTTTGGTAACAAATCTTATAAGTAAAAGGTTGAAACAGATGCTAATATAAGAAAAGTTCCAAATACAAATCTTTTAAGTACAAAAAGTTGAAAACATAGAAGAAAGGTTAGATTAAGTAAAACAGATGTTAATATTTTAGCTATTCAAGTTGGAGCTACTAGCTTGGACATTGTAAAATTTATACTTAAGCAGGTAGAACAAAGCATTAATCAACGCAAGCCAAGTACAACAGAATCCAAGGATTCAAGGGTGTCCATGATTAAATAACATATAGGAGAGAAGCAATGAGAATCTACCGTGCTAAATTTCCTAATTTGAGTTCACCACTGAGATTTTGTTTAGCAAATCATAAAAATGTCAATCACCATGGGTCTTACATAGCATAAAGTTTATCACATGTACTGATGCTATGCATTTATTCAAGGACTAGAAGCTCAAAGGAGGGGAGTGAGGACAAAGGATTCTAATTTTACACAAAAGGGACACACCAATCAAACTTCAAATATTAAAAGTATAAGTAGCGTAAAAGAAAATCAATGAGAAACTAGCACACTCTTACACATGAAAACAATGATGAATTACTTCAGTTAAAGACTACAATAAAGTAACCCTCTCTTCCCACCAATATAGCACTTAATATGAAGACAAAAAACCATTAAAAAAGAGGGAGAAAAAGGTAAAAGGAACACTATTCATGTCAATCAATTTCCCCAAATCTCTCGCTCTGTATTGATTAGAGCTGTCAAAATGAGTTAGCCCGTCCCATTTGGCCCTAGCCCATGTGGACTAAGGCCAAAAAGCCCACAGGACCAAATGAACCGCAATAATTGAGGTCCACACGGGCCAAAAGCCCTATTGGTTAGGGCCAGTCTGCTGGCCATCTAAAATTATAATTTCACAATTTTTTTATCATATTCAATACATTAAAAAATATTTTAACAAATGAATTTTTAACACTTTCTTAACATATTTTATACAAATTATAAATTTTTTATAATTTAATTTTTTAATAAAATAAGATTTGTACATAAATATACCAGTAAAAATGTAAACAAAATTTTAATATAAGTGAAAATTTAGTTACTCTTTTATTAAATTCATTATTAAATGATGGCATCAAATAAAGATTTTCTTACTGGAAGTCATAATAGAATACAACAATTATAGTGGAAACCTAAAAGTAATGATGAAAAAATTATCTTAATACCAGTATTGAATAACTGCTCTTAGTATGTTATATATTTTTTTTTTTTTTTTTGTAAATAGTATGTTATATATTTGAGGGGAAGGATATTGTGACAACCAAGTTGTGTTACTACCAAGTGACTACCAATCAATCTTACCGTTAGATCGATTATATTGATCCAACGGTTATATTTATTTCCATCTTTGTATGGTCATGATTCCCCAAATTTAATACTTTATATTTATTTTCACCTTTGTATGGTTATGATTTCCCATATTTAATGCTTTCACTTTAAATATGGGGAATCATGACCATACAAAGATGGAAATAAATATAACCGTTGGATCAACATAATTAATCTAACGGTGAGATTGATTGATAGTCACTTAGTAGTAACACAACTTGGTTGTCACAATATCCATCCCCTATATTTGAAAGTAAAATAATTGATTTTCTTTAATTACTACTGTTACAAAAAACTTTTTAGTTATTATTATCCACAAAATTACTAAAGTGCATTGTATACAATGTTTCAATACAAATTTGGATGTATAACATGCTTAGATGTCAATAGAAAATTTTATTTTTATTGATGCGCAGATGAAAATCTCTGTTAAAATATATCACTAATGAAAAATTATTTTTTGTTGTCAAATATTATGGATGAACTTTCACATGGTTCATAACACGTGACTCTTTTGTTTTTCATGACCTTTGATATATTTTATAATCATCACACTAATGGTGTGTTGAATTGTAAAATACATCCAAAGGGGTATCGTAAAATATTATGGATGACCTTTCACATGGATTATAGATGACCTTTCACATGGATTATGGATAATCTTTCACATGCATTATGAATGACCTTTCACATGGTTCATAACATGTGACTCTTTGTTTTTCCATGACTTCCATGTTTAAAATGCATCTAAGATAGGTCCTTATACAGGGCTCTTTGCTCATACTTATTCTTATTTTATTCTTTCTTTTATTTTTTTTCTACACTTCATTTTCCTTTCTTTCATATTTCATTTCTCTTATATTCTCCATCAAATTCACAACAATTTTTACTTATATTTATAAGTATTTAAATTTATATAATTTTTAGTTTTTTAAATAAGAAAATTTTGATTAAAGAAAAAGTTTGGCCAGCAGGTCAAACCTAACCTAGCCCGCTAAATTATAGGGCTTTGAGGGTCAGGGCTAAAACAAGCCCTGCCACAAAAAAGCCAGAATGGGTTAGAGCCAAATATAAAGCTTTGTGGGCTGACTCGCGGGCCCGCGGGCTTTAACTCATTTTGACACCTCTAGTATTGATTCTGTCATACTTTCCAAGAGATTAAAAAATGCAATACGTGGAATGGAAGACAAGAGTAGTAATAACACCCAGAGAGATTTTACTGCAAAAATAAATAATGCCAACACTACTAACCTCTTTTAGTTCTTTCTGATATTCCAAGATTCTATCTGGGGTCACTGCTCTCAATATTGAGACCAAATATCCCGGCTTTATAGAAGCAGAAGTTTCTACAAATAAAGCAATCTTTCTATAGTCTATAGTATCTTCAAAAGGCAACTCAATGTTATCACTGACAATCACTGGAATGCACAAGCTAACTATAGCATCAAACAGTCGGCAGGCTGATGGAGTATCTCCTGCGGGATGTAAACAGAACTTTGATGTATGCATTCCTTGTGAAGCTGCCCGTCGACTCTCTCTGGATTGTGCTCCATGCTTTATTATGACATCGTCTTCCTTTTCTAGAATTTGAAAGAGTGTATCACGAATTTTGCCTCCCTGTAAAACAGATGAGCACATAAAGGAATCAATATAACAAAAAGCGCAGAATCAGAGGCAATAATTTCTGGTTATTTAAGCGTATACAACAATACTATCACAGTATGATGCTCGAATGTTTTAATGAGAATACAACTGGGAAACTGACTATAGTCTTATAATACTGAGCTGTATTACACATACAGCCAGAAAATAGAACATTCCCCAAGTAAAGAATATATATAAGATTAAAGACTGTATTGTTAATACAAAGAAAACTCTTAGGAAGAAGATATATAAGCATAATAATGCTATATTTCAAATTACAAACTAATAACCAATAATGTGTCAGGCAAGCTCTCCTGAAGTAAGAGGGTGAAAAAAACAAAATCTGGTTTTGCCAACAGACAGCAAAGAAGAAATTTTAATGCCTAGGAAAATAAGGAAAGCCAGATACAGAGACTATAAGCTATGTAACGAAGATCTCCAGAAGGGAGGGATCCATGGTAGTTGCCTGAATTATTAAAATTGGCATTGGATGTATTATCCTTCAATTTGCTTCTCACAAATCCATTAATAGTTAATAGACAATTTTCAAACGTTCAGGATGTGGGCTCTCATTCTGATCTGCAGCATTGCACTGAGCTAGATTAAATTTATTTGTCTTTCAGTACCATTCTAATTCCAGTATTGTTTCGAACTATACTCTCTAAATCAATTTTGTATAATCCACGTAGAGCAAGAGCATATCAAATTACACATTAGTTAGAAGATTAAAAATAAAAAGAACAATTCATCATGTCAGGATCCATAAAAACTAGTCTGAAATACAAGTAAGAGACCGAACTTCAATTTGAATCACTTAATATATCCATCGCAGCATAGTAACAAACAGAATAGAATCCATTACCTCTTTGCGATATCGATTGCCCATGAAAAACAACAAGGTGTTGCGATTATCGACTCCGACGTCACCCTCGTAGGATTTGATACGGTGCGAGTACGGCACAACCACGTCCTTCACCAGAGACCCCTGGTCGGGTCGTAACCGCCCAAAATCCGCAACAAGCAGCACGCAATTCTTGACCCGATCGATGACCCGGTACATCGCATTCGGATCGGAGGCCACAATCACGTGGTCCCTTCCATTGCTCCTCTTCCAATACTCCTGCCCCTCCAGCCACTCCACCAGCGCCTCCTGGTTCTCCTCGTCGCTATAAGCCGGTTTATCTGAACCGGGACCTGAACCGGCGGGGCGGACCGGGTTCACGATCAAGCTCAGCGACGAGAAGAACGGCACGAAGAACAAGTCGGCTTCGTCGGGATCCAGAACCCGAACCACGGGCGAACCGACGCGCTCGGAGTCGGGTCGGGCGAGATCCGAGAAGAGGTACCACTCCGCCATGTGCTGATGGCCGGGGTACTTAAGGGATGACGCGTCATCGGAGACGCGTGCGCCACGCGCGAGGGAATGGTGGTGGATGACGCCGTGGGTGAATCTGAGGGGAAGATCGTAGAGGTAGACCTTGACGGCGGGGGATTTTGAAGCGCCGGCGGCGAGGGCGACGGAGGAGGCGGTGGCGGAATTGAAGGAGAAGGTGGAGGCGGCAGATTCGAAGGTGGAAGAATCGGTTGGGTAGAGGAATGCGTTGAAGAGAGCGTAGAGGGCGAAGAAGAGGACGAAGGTTACTAGGGTTTGCTTGAGAACGGGTTTTCTGATCATGGTAGAAAACGGTGATTGAGAGAGGATAATGGGCTTTGGTTTTCTGCTTTTTCCTTTTGCTTTTGCGCCTTCTTCGTCCATTCTTCCTTCTTCTTCTCCTTTGTAATTGACACGACTACGAGCAACAGGATCTATTGTATTATTATACTACGGATGAAATTAATTCAATTTTTCACCATTGATTCGATTCTTCCTTCTTTCACCATTGTATTATTGTATTATTGAAGGTTGTCATCATAAGTAGATAAATAGTTGAGATCAATGGTCATGGCTCGCATTTAAGGCTTTTTATAATATAAGGTCTTAGGGATGTCATTATACTGGACCATACTTCGATTTGATCCAGGTGTTCATGGACCGGTCACCTAATCCACCATGGGTTTTTTTTCCCCTTTTTTTATCCATCTTGTTATTGATGATTTATTTTATTTTATTTTATTTTTGTTGAATTCTAGACTTCACTTAAAAAAACTAGCTTTTTTTTTTTTTGATAAACTAAAAAAAAAAAAAAAAAAACTCTAGCTTCTTACTATTAAAACCAATAGTTTTGGTGTTAATCATGAATATCAATATGCAAATAATTAAATAGGAAGGTTATATTTACAATTTTTTTTTACAATCTCTTACAATCATATCTTAACACCGTTGATTTTCGCCAATCAACGGTTATTATTTATTGTGAATTAAAAATTAATTAATAAATTTAATTTGCGAAAATCATAACCGTTGATTGGCGGAAATCAACGGTGTTAAGATATGGTTGTAAGAGGTTGTAAAAAAAAGTTGTAAGTATAACCTACCTCATAATTAAATTAGAAGATGATCAACTTGGACATATCTAAGTTTTACAATTTTATATTTTATTACTAATCTTTGAACCCATTTTTATTTAATTAAATCAAGTATCTAAAAAAATATGAGCTGTGGAATGTAACAATAACTAAGAGCCTGTTTGGATCCTTTTATTTTTAAGTTACAAGCTACTTACAAGCTAAAAAAAAAGCTAAAAAAAGAAGCTAAAAGCTGTTTGGTAATTATATAAAAATTTTAGCTTAAAAATTAGTTAAAAGTACATTTTTCAAGAAAATTATCTCTCTTTTTATCTTTATAACTATTCATTTAAAAAAAAACACAATTATGTAATTTTCGAATTTTGGAATCAAAACACTTTATCTGAAGCGTTCTTCGCGTTCTTCATCTTTTACTTCTTCTCTTTATTCTTTTTAATTTTTAGTTATGTTTACCTTAGCCATGCGAGGCTAAGAACCTTATAATCAACCTAATGGTAACGGATTCCATGGATTAATCTTGAGGATCTGCGCTTTATTTTAAATCAGTTTCGTTTCCCTTCCAAACTCAGATTGATATCGTGCGATCGTGGATATTCAATCTGAGGTTCGCGATTGCGATTATGGAAAGGGATTAATCATCAGATTTGATGATTAGGTTGATTGACCCTATGACCTTAAATCAAGCGGGCTGATACTCTGCGATTGTATGAGTAGAAGCACCGTATTTGATCAAATGTTAAGCGATCGCTTAGAGAGGGTTGTCAATTGGAAATAAGGATTCTGATTCAATTGACAATCAATCACGATTCTGATATCTTTTTATTCGAGAAAGAAGTCCATGGAACCCTAACCTTAGGTTGGTTAATTTTTAATTACGAATTTTTATTCCAAATTTATATTCTGCCTTTTTAATTATTCAATCAAAATCCAAAACCCCCCTTTCAACTTTTTTTCATTATAAAAAAAAGAGTTTTTCAATATAAGAGTTTTTTCCAAAACTTGTTTGGCCTAGCTTATACTTATAAATAGCTTCTAGCTTAAAAAAGAGAGGATCCAAACAGGCACTAATATTCTTTGTAAATAACTTATGTGAAAAATGTTTATCATTTTAAATGACACAATATTATATCTTTTTTAATGAAATTACATTGTTTTAATGTGGTTTTTTTTTAAAAAAATATTTTGGTGTGTTTTTACATTCTCTTTTATCCACTTTCTTTTTATTTCTAATTTTATAGAAAAAAGAGATAAAATATACCAAAATGATATAATTTCATTAAAAATAATATGAAATTATATCATTTAAAATGAAAAACACTAAACTCATAAAGTAAGGAAATTAATATCAGAGTACAAATTAAATTTTATATTATATATATATATTTAAATGGTTACTTTAAAAACAAAATCTTGTCTTTTCCGAATGATATGATAATGATATTCAATGGTCTAGCGGTCCCAGCAATTATTCTAAACTAGCTAGTAAGTCAAAATCACCGATTCCACAGATAGCACACTTGGGCAGAAGCAAATTGAAAGGCCTCCTATTCCTAAGGTTGATACAAAAGCTCATAAATAAATAAATAAAAAATTGAAGCATAAGGCTAAGAATTTCACAAAATCAAATATACTAAACATGTGGTAGCATATCACTTTTTGTAAATAAAAAGTTGAAGACAAGGCTAAGAATTTCAAAACATGAATTTAATACAAAAATAAAATAAAATATGAAAATAGTACTGAAGAGAATTTTATAAATTTAAGACTTGCTGAATGAAATGGAGTTCCTCATAAGAAACTTGATAAAAAAAATAATTAATTAAGGATAAAGATAACATTTTTTTTTTCAATTTAATAATGTTAACAAAATTAAAAATCTGAATTTAATAAAAAGAAATAAAAATACATAGAGCAAAATACTAATACTATTGATATGATGGTTATAAAATTAACATGCATGGCTGAGATTGTGATACTCATATAAATTGAATAAAATATGAAAAGTGAAAACTCACAATATTTGTCTTTAAATCGAGCTTTTAAAGAAATCTATCAACTAAGTTAATGAATAAACAATATATGACTCCATTCAGTATTTATTTTATTTCTTATGTATCTTCATTTAGCAAGTTTAATCTTCCTTTAACATTGAAAATCACATAATAAATTATTATTTTTTATAATTTTAATTTTATCCAAAATGAGTGATCTATGATTGTATTTATTATATTATTTTACTTTTGAATACCGAATTCACAATTAATTATAATATTATTTTCTAATAAGGGTGGTGTCAAAAAAGGTTATCACAAGCGGATCGACGCGGACACCACACCAAAATTTGTGTTCAAACAGACCTGCAAAAAAAATTATGTCATGTTCATGTTGAGAAAAATGACATGCAAAAAATTTGTTTTCGTGTCAACACAAATTCGATCCATTTTTTTTTAAATTTTGACCCTTTTTTTGTCAATTACCGTTTTAACCCATATTTTGTATGCCAATCGTGTCGTGTAATGTCAATTCGTAAAAAATTTGTGTCATGTTCATGTTGAAGATTTTGACATAAATAAAAATTTGTATCGTGTCCTAATAACCTGTTGATAATTTTTAGGAGATTGTTTCTCTCATCTAATAGAAAGCAAAATCTCTCATACTAAGAGACAAATATGATGGGGTCCAAAAAAGAAAAGGAAAAGAAAAGAGAGGCACGTTTTTTCTATATGAGTGTAACATAAGAGAACAATCTTATCTAATATGAGAATATAATTTCTCTATTTTTTATATTTAATATCAATCATATCAACTTGAATTTAATAAGTATAAATAAAAATAAAAATAGAATTATGATATTAAAAAGATTTTATTGATTTAGAATTTCATTGAGAGTCATTAAAATAAGAGTTTATTATTTTTTTGTCTGTAACATTGGTATCTGAAAGTCACATTATGTCTCAACTAACAGTGATCGGACACATTTAAGGGGATAAAACTCTCCTAGCACAAATTTTACTCTTCACTAGACTCAAAACTGAAATCTTGTTTTTTTTTTTATGAAAAAAAATTTTCTTACTAATAAAATTTGGCAAAAAAAAAAATATTGTTATTTTAATAAATAATTACGAATATATAGATGTTTTGAAACTATTTACGGATCTATTGCATTCATTCACGCCTAAATTGAGCGTAACCATTCACGTCGAAGTTAGGCGTGACTCAGTAGGCATTCACACCTAATTTAAGCGTGACTTGTCTAGTGTTGACAATGACAGAAAAAGTTAATAGCTTAATCGTAAAGCTCCGGAATGCCGTAACTTTTGACTGGGGTAGCCGAATCACATAATTTTTCGAGATCTATGCAATGATACCTCATTTTACATATTTTATCCCTCACAAACATCGTTCGAATTGTAACAATAATATTATAATAGCGTTTAAACCCAAAAGTCTCTGAGTTCTTTTCGAACGAACACCAAACACAATCTTCTTTTAAAAAATATTGAAATTATAAAAAATATTACAAGAAACAAACATCTAACTTTGTTAATGTTTGGAAGTAAAAAATTAAATAACATCATTCACAAAGATAAAAATATGCCAAAAGGGACATCCAATTGCAGGCTTTTCACGGGACTCCTAGATTCTTCTTGTGGACTTTATGCTCTGAAACATGATTTCTGGTGGGGAGTATTAGAAAGGTACTTCGATACATATCATATGATACGAAAATTAAATCAAAATTTTTAATATAAAAAAAGATTTTGTTTATGATTTAAATTAAAAAAAATCTAAAAAATTATTATTAATAAGGAAAAAAATAAAGATTTGATTTGTGATTTAAATTCAAAAATTAATCTATAAAATCTGTATTAATAAAGAAAATAATTAAATAAATATTCTAAATCTATAAGGAAGAAATATTTTATTTTTTATGATTTGATTTGTGATTTGTACCCATTAGTCCATTTTTGTTCATTTTTCTTTTAAATGTATTTATTTTTTCTTTCTCTTAGGCATAAATAATTCAATGGCTTTAAAGAAAAAAGTCATAAAACATAATAATGTAACTTACGATACAATTTGATAAAACTTATAAAAAAGTTATATATTTTTAAATTACTATTTATTATATTTTTTGTATTTTACGATTCACGATACACGATACGAAAAGTTGGTCAAACAATACACAATACGTATTGCGATTCAATAACCTTGTACACTATTTTTTTTTAAACACTTGGAAGAAAGTATATATTTTAATATGACATTAAGTATCCTTATTTATAGATTGACTAATCCACTTTGGTGCCATCTTTAATTTCAGACTACGACTTAAAAGATAAAGTCTCAATTCACAGTGATAAGAATACAACCCATAGGATAAGGATAAGGAGGTTCTAGTAGGGAGAAGACTGTGTTTGGTGTTGATTCGAAAA